GTTGAGTGATGTCGTGGTGTTGAGAGTGATGTCGTGGTGTTGAGTGATGTCGTGGTGTTGAGAGTGATGTTGTGGTCTTGAGAGTGATGTCGTGGTGTTGAGAGTGATGTTGTGGTGTTGAGAGTGATGTCGTGGTGTTGAGAGTGATGTTGTGGTGTTGAGAGTGATGTTGTGGTGTTGAGAGTGATGTTGTGGTGTTGAGAGTGATGTTGTGGTGTTGAGAGTGATGTTGTGGTGTTGAGTGATGTTGCTGAATACCGCCTTTTTTTGTAAGACGTCTACTCAAGTGTATTTGTGTCGTGTACATATTATTATATATGTAAACTCTTTGAGAGTTTATCTTTTGGCTAAGTGGGTAGCCAGGCTACCCACGTAGACCTAAAATTTCGCAGATACCCACGCCTGCTGATACCCACGCCTACTGATACCCACGCCTGCTGATACCCACGCCTACTGATACCCACGCCTGCTGATACCCACGCCTGCTGATACCCACGCCTGCTCATACCCACGTCTACTGATACCCACGCCTGCTGATACCCACGCCTGCTCATACCCACGCCTGCTGATACCCACGTCTACTGATACCCACGCCTGCTGATACCCACGCCTGCTGATACCCACGCCTGCTGATACCCACGCCTGCTGATACCCACACCTGCTCATACCCACGCCTGCTCATACCCACGTCTACTGATACCCACGCCTGCTCATACCCACGTCTACTGATACCCACGCCTGCTGATACCCACGCCTGCTCATACCCACGCCTGCTCATACCCACGTCTACTGATACCCACGCCTGCTGATACCCACGCCTACTGATACCCACGCCTGCTGATACCCACGCCTGCTGATACCCACGCCTGCTCATACCCACGTCTACTGATACCCACGCCTGCTGATACCCACGCCTGCTCATACCCACGCCTGCTGATACCCACGTCTACTGATACCCACGCCTGCTGATACCCACGCCTGCTGATACCCACGCCTGCTGATACCCACGCCTGCTCATACCCACGCCTGCTCATACCCACGTCTACTGATACCCACGCCTGCTCATACCCACGTCTACTGATACCCACGCCTGCTGATACCCACGCCTGCTGATACCCACGCCTGCTCATACCCACGTCTACTGATACCCACGCCTGCTGATACCCACGCCTGCTGATACCCACGCCTGCTGATACCCACGCCTGCTCATACCCACGTCTACTGATACCCACGCCTGCTGATACCCACGCCTGCTGATACCCACGCCTGCTGATACCCACGCCTGCTCATACCCACGCCAACTGATAATCTCGCAAAGAGATTGAGCCGAAGAATATCGCGGCGCATCCCGACCACATTCTCCCTTATATCTAGCGACGAGTTCATTGACGTTCTGAAAAGGAGATAACCTCTTGGGATAACAGCTTAAAAGATAACAACCCAGGACTCACACACCAGTCACCCTGTAATGTCACTCCCCTATATGTGCCTACAAGATCGAGCTCTAGCTCTTTGACCCCGCTCTTCTAGCCACCGATTGTTTAATGCAATGACTCCTGGCCTATCACCTTATCATTCCTGCTTTTAAAGTTGTGAATGGAGTTAGAGCCTCTTTAACCTGCTCCTTTAGTTCATTCTATATACCCTCTAATCTTAAGCTAAAAGATAATTTTCTGACAACTCTATGACGTGTGTGTGTGTGTGTGTGTTTTATAGGCGGTAAAGGATTAGATATCTTCTCTATGTTCTTGGTTTCATCTTTGCCTTAGCGTGTGACTAAGGTGACTTCGAAGAAGAGGTGGGATGGGTATGGGAGGTGATGGGGAAGGAAGGGGAGGGGTATGGGAAGGGATGGGAATGGGGGGTATGGATGGGGAAGGGGGGGGAGACTGGAGACCAGTAACTCAACAGGGAAGGGTATGTTTTGGTGGTGATTATACTCCAGTGAGCAGCGGGCCGTCACCGCCCAGGTATGCTGCCGCAGTGCGGTCCACCCCTCACTATACCTGTGGTCCACCTTCACTATACCTGTGGTCCACCTTCACTATACCTGTGGTCCACCCCTCACTATACCTGTGGTCCACCCCTCACTATACCTGTGGTCCACCTTCACTATACCTGTGGTCCACCTTCACTATACCTGTGGTCCACCTTCACTATACCTGTGGTCCACCTTCACTATACCTGTGGTCCACCCCTCACTATACCTGTGGTCCACCTTCACTATACCTGTGGTCCACCTTCACTATACCTGTGGTCCACCTTCACTATACCTGTGGTCCACCCCTCACTATACCTGTGGTCCACCTTCACTATACCTGTGGTCCACCCCTCACTATACCTGTGGTCCACCTTCACTATACCTGTGGTCCACCCCTCACTATACCTGTGGTCCACCTTCACTATACCTGTGGTCCACCCTTCACTATACCTGTGGTCCACCTTCACTATACCTGTGGTCTACCCCTCACTATACCTGTGGTCTACCCCTCACTATACCTGTGGTCCACCTTCACTATACCTGTGGTCCACCTTCACTATACCTGTGGTCCACCCCTCACTATACCTGTGGTCCACCTTCACTATACCTGTGGTCCACCCCTCACTATACCTGTGGTCCACCTTCACTATACCTGTGGTCCACCTTCACTATACCTGTGGTCCACCCCTCACTATACCTGTGGTCCACCTTCACTATACCTGTGGTCCATCTTCACTATACCTGTGGTCCACCCCTCATTATACCTGTGGTCCACCTTCACTATACCTGTGGTCCACCCCTCACTATACCTGTGGTCCACCTTCACTATACCTGTGGTCCACCTTCACTATACCTGTGGTCCACCCCTCACTATACCTGTGGTCCACCTTCACTATACCTGTGGTCCACCCCTCACTATACCTGTGGTCCACCTTCACTATACCTGTGGTCCACCCCTCACTATACCTGTGGTCCACCTTCACTATACCTGTGGTCCACCCCTCACTATACCTGTGGTCCACCTTCACTATACCTGTGGTCCACCTTCACTATACCTGTGGTCCACCTTCACTATACCTGTGGTCCACCTTCACTATACCTGTGGTCCACCTTCACTATACCTGTGGTCCACCCCTCACTATACCTGTGGTCCACCTTCACTATACCTGTGGTCCACCCCTCACTATACCTGTGGTCCACCTTCACTATACTCATGACACACAACAGGGGTCACTACTCACTCATGACACACAACATGGGTCACTACTCACTCATGACACACAACAAGGGTCACTACTCACTCATGACACACAACAAGGGTCACTACTCACTCATGACACACAACAAGGGTCACTACTCACTCATGACACACAACAAGGGTCACTACTCACTCATGACACACAACAAGGGTCACTACTCACTCATGACACACAACAAGGGGTCACTACTCACTCATGACACACAACAAGGGTCACTACTCACACATGACACACAACACGGGTCACTACTCACTCATGACACACAACAAGGGTCACTACTCACTCATGACACAACATGGGTCACTACTCACTCATGACACACAACAAGGGTCACTACTCACTCATGACACACAACAAGGGGTCACTACTCACTCATGACACACAACAAGGGGTCACTACTCACTCATGACACACAACAAGGGGTCACTACTCACTCATGACACACAACAAGGGTCACTACTCACTCATGACACACAACAAGGGGTCACTACTCACTCATGACACACAACAAGGGTCACTACTCACTCATGACACACAACAGGGGTCACTACTCACTCATGACACACAACATGGGTCACTACTCACTCATGACACACAACAAGGGGTCACTACTCACTCATGACACACAACAAGGGTCACTACTCACACATGACACACAACAAGGGTCACTACTCACACATGACACACAACACGGGTCACTACTCACTCATGACACACAACAAGGGTCACTACTCACTCATGACACACAACATGGGTCACTACTCACTCATGACACACAACAAGGGTCACTACTCACACATGACACACAACAAGGGTCACTACTCACTCATGACACACAACATGGGTCACTACTCACTCATGACACACAACAAGGGTCACTACTCACTCATGACACACAACATGGGTCACTACTCACTCATGACACACAACATGGGTCACTACTCACTCATGACACACAACATGGGTCACTACTCACTCATGACACGCCTGGCTGACGGGGATCCTCTTAATACTGGCCTCCTGACGCAGTTGTGTCACGTGACACTGCATCGCCTGGATCTGCGATAGGATCCGCTCTCCTTTGGACGACATGCTGCCTCTTGGGGTCCTGCGGCCGGAGTCTGACGAGGTCCTGCGACCGAAGTCTGACGAGGTCCTGCGACCGAAGTCAGACGAGGTCCTGCGACCGAAGTCAGACGAGGTCCTGCGACCGAAGTCAGACGAGGTCCTGCGACCGAAGTCAGACGAGGTCCTGCGACCGAAGTCTGACGAGGTCCTGCGGCCGAAGTCAGACGAGGTCCTGCGGCCAGTCAGGTGAGATCGTGCCGTTTAGGGAACGCCTTCTTCGTCGAAGTTCGATGACCAGAGGCGCGCCCGACCGGGACACAGCGGTTCAGACCGGGACACTGCCGGACACTGGGGCTAGATCAGGACACTTGGTAAGTTCAAGACACTATGGTCAGCTGGGGACACGTGAGGCTCGATCAAGTCAATGGCTCTTTTGGACACATTGAGGTTATCTGACCTACACATGGGCTACATAATACCCGTCACCTTAGGACACTGGGGTCAATTTTGGAGAATGGGGTTAGCAGAGGGCACTGGGGTCAGCCGAGGGCACTGGGGTTAGCCGAGGTCACTGGGGTCAGCCGAGAACACTGCAGTCAGTTGACTAATTCTTACCATAACAGTGTTGAACTGAAAACACTTCACTGTCAATATAAAAAAAATAATAAATATCTTTGTTCCAAACTTTTTTGTTCAGTCTTTGATATTCATTTTCCGTTCTAAGCCCCCGAGATAAACACCTCGGACGCCTGAGAGGTTGTTGTGACGTGTTCAGCGCTGCCTGAACATCCTGGTGGAGAGAGAACCTCCGTACACAAGCGTTCCGCTGCCTGGAGGTGCTCACAGCCGAGCTCGAGCAACGCACATCCACTGCGCTTGGGCGGCTGCCTGCCACTGCTGTGCCCACGCTGCTACTGCTGCTTCTTATAGCATCACCCGGCTCCTCCTTGCCAGAGGCCGCTAAGCTGCAAGAAGAGAGAGATGTCACGTTAGATGGTTTACTTAGATCTTGGGCTCAAGGCCTAACAACCTCACAGGTTTTTACACCCACAACTAGCGTAGTAACCGGCCAGACTGCAACCCTCGGTGACGGGTGTCGTGTACCACATAGTTATCGTCTTCGTCCGGGTCGACACGAGAGATAAAACAACTACACGAGGCAATATAATGGTCACTGTGAAGATGACGGCCCAGGGAACTAGGCGACACTCGCACAGTCACGTCAAAACATGGTAAGAAAATCATTAGTTGTCATATAATTCAACATAGTAATATAATCAAGTATTAGAAGTAAAGGAATGTTTAAAATTTCGGTATCGGTTGACATCTTGTATTCAGAACACCCCCTCCATCCTCCCTTCCCCCAACCCTTTAGTTTGGTTCATGTTAAATCGATTCTCATTTGTTTTCATTTACCTTATGCTTCTGTACCAGGAGTTTATAACGTCGTCGGCCCGAGCTTTTAGTTTTAATAAACAAGACTAGAGACTTGTTTGTTTTCTTTCCTCCGAGAAAACATAACAGGTGAGGCTACACTCTCGACACACCCGCGTCATTCTGTTCTGTAATGGGTCGGCGAAGAGCGTTTGTTTAGGTGGATAGTTGGGCAGAAATAGCCTAAGCTACTCTATCCCTTTGAGATGTATTTTTTTCTTGTCTCAATAAACATACTTGAACTTGAATTTGAACTTGGGTAGAAAAGGATGGTTGTACAGGCTCTACCACCATTACCTCGCCAAGCTCAACTCCACAACTCACTCCAGTTAATGTTAGAATTAACACCAAGTGATTTTTGCTCAACCAATCAGGCCCAGTTACCCTCTTCCACACTGTTAGTCTGTATTTCCTCCGGTGAGTCAGACTGTCAGCCATCCAGTCTAGTCACATCACCCCTGTCATTCCTCCACTTTATAACTCTCCACCTTTCTACCCCCGCCACACCTGTACCTCATCAACCCCCTTCCCTACACACACACAACCACCCCACATCATACCCGACCACCCCTCACACACCTGTAGGCTCTCACCTTCATAAAGACACAGTAAACACCACTCGGTGGCAGACATCAGCTGGAGTGAGAGACAACAGCTGATCGCACCACAACACCCACACACACAGACAACAGCTGATGTGTGTGTGTGTGTGTGTGTGTGTGTGTGTGTGTGTGTGTGTGTGTGTGTGTGTGTGTGTGTGTGTGTGTGTGTGTGTGTGTGTGTGTGTGTTTATAGGAGCTGCCATCCATAGCAGCTATAAGTGCTACCATATATAGAATATAAGTGTACTTTCTCACGTCTTTCTTGGCATATTTGCGTTTTCTACCTTCACCTGTGTCCTATCCTCCTGTTTTTCCTGATGTGAAGTAGGCTGTCATTCTCCGCTTCGACTATCCTTCTCAGTATTTTGTAGAGCGTGATCATATTTCCTCCGATCCTCCTCACTTTTAATGTGGTTAGGCTGAGCTCTTAGTCTTTCTTAGTAGCTTCTTCAATTCTGGCATCAATCTTGTCGCTAATGATAGGACTATCTCGATCTCTCCGAGCTACACAAGGTGGAGGTTTCATGCCGGTTTCATAATGATAGGACATGCAACATGCTTATTAAGAGGTCTCGGTGCTGCATATCCTAAGCATTAGGTGAAAAGAAACGTGCCCAGCCAATTTTGTCCAGCCCGGGATTCGAACTCGGGATTCCCGATTGCGAGTCGAGATTAACTATGCAACCGAGACCTCTTATCCCTGGAAACACAAACCGTAACTGTCTCTATTTTCCGCTTGTTACAACTTGTAATAATGTTGTTACATCTTGGCTTAACGTGTTTATGACGTATTAGAACGTTGTTACAACGTTCTATATTGGTTGTTATAACTGGTTAGGTTGCTCGAACGTTGTAGTTTCGGTGTGTGTTTGGCGGGATAATGTCTGGCGACGCAGACACTGTCGTTACCAGCATCACAAACTGTCCCTGTAACAACTTACACAACTCACTACACAACTGGCTGGACTAAAATCCGATTCAGATTTCAGATTCATTTATTTCTCATGCATCCCATACCCAAACTTACATTTTTGGCTGAAAGTGAGTGACATTTAGCAAACAATTTGAAAGATGTCTTAGCCAAGTATCCAAAGTTTGCTTACTGTAGGTAATGCCTGCACATGGCTGTAAAGCTGCCGCCCAGCTGCAGGAGTGTGTGTAGAGTAGGATCAGTAACTGTGTGACGGGAACCGAATCACCTCAGGTGTAAATTTGCCTCGTATACTGTTGTGGACCCCTTCTTGAACCACTTATGATATAAAAAGACTTGATGAATAATAATTGATGTGTATGTATATTATATGTATATGAATGTATGCGTATTAAATTGGGTAACTAGCTTCACAAGATTGTTACTTGCTAAATGAACTTTGGGGTTCAGTTCCTGAACCCATTAGCCTGAATCTATTCCGTCCTTTTAATGTCTGACCAAATTAGCCTACTGGCAATGTCCACATGTGCTTGAGTGCTATTTAGAGCGTAATTGAGGGTGATTGCACATATTTGAAGTTTTAAATTGTCTTTTTATACGGAAATTGGATCATAATAAAAAACGGAGATTTGTTTGCATTGACTGCAAACTGACCCAAAATGAAGTTTGAAAAAAAACTTCATTTTTGAAAGTTTGAAAAAAAAAGTAATGTCTGGCCAAGTTAGCCTACAAGCAGTATCCTCCTAATGTCTGGCCAAGTTAGCCTACAAGCAGTATCCTCCTAATGTCTGGCCAAGTTAGCCTACAAGCAGTATCCTCCTAATGTCTGGCCAAGTTAGCCTACAAGCAGTATCCTCCTAATGTCTGGCCATTGGCCAAGTTCGCCTAATAGCAGCGTCCTTTTAATGTCTGGCTAAGTTAGCCTACAGCAGTGACCTCTCAGTCCACGGACAAAGCCTACTACTGGCAGCTAGCGTTCTCTCACTACCAAAGGACAGTGGCAGGGTCCTCTCGGAGATACTGAGTCTCTTGCTAATTATGGAAAGTGATAATCCATAAAGGCTGTACCCTTAACTTGACCACTGTCGCTGGTCAAGGAATCTTACTTCTTGGCTCTCAATTCTCATTTGATATCATTAATCTTTCATCGGATGAAAAAACAATGCAAATTCCTTTTCAGTTTGTATATTTGCATATAATAATACACAAATCATTGCATAAATATATCCGTATCAAACTCAAGTGCATGCGTTATGCTAGATAATACAAGTAAGCCGACAGCATTTGATGCATATATTTGATTCTTAGTGGGCTTATAGCCCCACATAACTGGACAAGGGGTATATATACACCGAGATATATATATACACTCTTCTCGGTGTATATAGACAAAGTTTAATTTATTGCTGAATTTATGTACAGGACTTAAATATACATGCTGGTTGATTAATAAGATATTGTGGTGGCTTTAGTAACCCTTCAGCGGTTGATAGGCTTTAAACCCAAAACCAAAATAAATACACACATAATATTATATAAATATATAATTATATATGCAATTGACGATCACGAAACACTGATCATTTGTATGCGGAAAATCCACAGAGAAATGGAAAAGAGAGATGAACGTTTTAGCCGATCTGAGCCTTTGAGACCAGACGCATAATTATATATATATATATATATATATATATATATATATATATATATATATATATATATATATATATATATATATATATATATATATATATATATATATATATATATATATATATATATATATTACATATATTCATATATATAAGCGGAAAATATATAACAGTTGACAACTTTATTCCAGCCCCCAACAGCCGCACAGTTACTGGTAACCACAACTTGATTGGAATGTATTTGTGATTGAAAATTAGAATTCTTTATAAGCGCATTTCAGTACAACATATGGGTAGGATTCAACACTAAAATTATTATTATTATTATTCCAGCTAGGCTATGCCGAATTCCTCCGAGAACGCTTCACGTCCGGTGTGGGCATGGCACGCGCGCGCAGGCGCACTCGCAGTCGTGTTGTTTACAAAAACATTGCAGTTTGAACGATCAGACAGATACAGGATATGAGGAAAGGGGCGGCTGGAACACTCGGAACTGTATAGAGTGAGAGAGTAAGTGTTACATAACTTGTGAAGCGTACAAATGAAGTCTGATTAACAGGTAAGAACTTCTGTCTAAAGTGCGCTGTTCTCAGGTGAGAGAGTGAGAGAGTGTGAGAGTGTGAGAGAGTGAGAGAGTGTGAGAGTGAGAGTGAGAGTGAGAGAGAGAGAGAGAGAGAGAGAGAGAGAGAGAGAGAGAGAGAGAGAGAGAGAGAGAGAGAGAGAGAGAGAGAGAGAGAGAGAGAGAGAGAGAGAGAGAGAGAGAGAGAGAGAGAGAGAGAGAGAGAGAGAGACACCAGCCCATATGTCTGGTCAATAGCCCCTTACATACAAACACTTCATAACCAACCGCCTCAACGAGTCGAATCAGTTTTAGTTATATACAATTGCAGTTTTGTGCATTTCTGTGCAAAAGTGATACTACATTTGGATGTTGCCATTGCTAGAATATACTCTCGCCGCGTTACTGAGGTGTGAAGGGCATATATAGAGCTCAGCCACATGTCAGTATAACGGCTCCAAGTAGAGGTTGTAGTTTAAACAGTAGGTGCAGCTAAAGGTGATATTCCACCACGGCTTAAATCTCCTACTCAAGCTTGTTCAGGCGTATGACTGTTCATCCCTACACCCGTCTCCCACGTATTGTGGCCTCACCCACATTGTGGTCTACTGCAAACTACCTGTCTGCCACATGTTTCGTCTCTCATGAAGAGTTTTGTCTGTTCCATATCTTTATACAGAGTTTGCGTGGGGCGTGTTGAAGCAGGTAGTCGATGGGCAGACAAGACGCGCTCTGAAGAGCCAGTTCCTGCAGGGAGAAGTTTCCCCATAGTATGGCCCCGGCCTCT